CCTTCCTCGCTCCTGGTTTCCACCCCTCCCCCCGCCCTGCCGCGCGCAGCGCTCGGCCCCTCGCGGGGATGGCAACAGTGTTTCCACCGGCCGTCCGGCCCCGCCGGCGGCCCCGCGGCGCAAGCCCCGAGCCTCCCCCTCTGGAGATGCGCGCTCCTTTGGGGAGAAGTTCAAGTTCAAGACCAGGGTGGTGCATGGCAGGCCCCTGCGCCTTTCCCAAGAGACAGACCAGCGCCCCCAAGATTTTGTTTCCACCAGCGGGGGGGCCCCACTCTTAGCTACCCACTGGGGGGCCCCACTCTTAGCTGCCCACTGGGGGGCCCCACTCTTAGCTACCCATTCACACCAGCAACGACAAAATCAAGACTTAGATGGACAGAGACCTTTACCTAGGAAAAAAGGAGGTTGCCATGGGGTACGCATGTTCAGAACCCGACGGAAATCGGCTTTATCACTGTCTGTACCGCAAGGGGTGAGCAGTGAGGGAGCAAACCCGGGCGCGCCACCAGTGGTTTGAACAAGGAATGTGTTCCCTGTGCTCCAGGGGTTCAGGGAATAAACTGAGGAGGAGATGTGGCCTGCATCCGATCTGGGGGCCAGCTCCCCGGGTTCAGGATCCAGTGGGGTGGTCCAGGCACAGCAGAGGGGAAGGAGTGGGCAGGTGTGCACACGTGGTGGCCGGTGCCGGCCCCACAAGGAGGGCGCGGAGCTAAGCGCAGAGCCAGCGTTTCTCTGCCACGACTCGGGTGGTGCTAACAGAAGGGGGCGCAGGGGAGAAGGTCTGAGCCTGCAGAGGGACCCTCCTTGGCCCTGAGCAGCCAGGAAGGAGGCGGGGGATTCCTGGCAGGGGTTACCTGAGAGGCCACACGAGTCCCGTCCCCCCCTTTACTCCCTTCCCGCCAGGAAGTTGGGGTTCCCCTGCTCGCCTCCTTCTCACCCACATTTCATAAAGTCCCTTGCAGGGGTGAAACTCTCAGAAGGCATCCTTGGACAGTGGCTGTCCCTGGCCCTTCACGGGGTCTCCGCCCATTCTCCTCCAGGGTTCATGAGATGGAGGTGCCCCTCACCACCTAACCCTCCCTTACAGCTCCCCCAGCCCCCAGCCTAGTCCCTTCTGGGGAGTGAGAGGGACTTGAGAAGCATCACCCACGCGGCCCCTCACTTCTCCCTGGCCCCTGGCCTGCAGCGCACAGCTCTCAGCCTGCCCTCTTCCCTCAGGCCAAGAAAACCGCTTCTGAATTCGCATTCTCAGCTTTATCTGATCTTTTTAGGTCCCGCTCCAGTAAAAAGTACAGAGGAGAAACCTATGCGGAGATCAGGAAGCTCCCTTCTGGGGTACACCAAGATCTTGGTGACTGACGATGGTTGGCTCCGGACCTGGAGAAATGTTCCCTTTCATCTGCCCAAATCTTGCCGCTGACCCCCCTCCCCCTCTCCCTGTACCAGGCCTGTCCCCAGTCCAGGGTTCCCTGGAACAGGCGGCACACACCTGGTCCCACATGAGAATGGGGTCTCTCTCTAGTTAGGTAGTTTCGTCACATCTGCTCTGATCTTTTCACAGACTCAGTAAATCACCAGCTAGACACGTGAATCTCAACCACGGCAGGAAGTCAGAATCCGCAGGAGAAAATCTTCAGCATTAAATCCCCTCCCCTCCGGATCTGATTCCTCCACCAGCCGGGATGGGGTGGGAAGGACTTTCCCTCCAAAGGGCACTTAGGGCAGATCTAATATTTTCTTTTAGGAGAACCTGTGAGCTAACATCTATATATGAAACCAGCTTTCTGGAATCTACCTCTGCACATTCATTTATATAATACATACCAATCAGGAATTTACTTTAGATGTTTTCTGGGCATCAGGGAAAATAATTTAGGGCAGGCTCACTTTTCCTATTGCCCTCTGCTTCCTCCGTCTATATATAGTTGGCTCTCTCTGGAAAGAACAACATGTCTGTTTTTATTTAACCTTTCCGCTCTCTTTTTTCTCTCTCCCCCTTTAGAGGACAATCGCTTGATCTTTGAGGCCTTTGGCTTCGGAGCTCTGGCTGGTTTCCATGCGGTCCTCCTTCCTCGACTTAAATGTTCACTTATTTGTAATCCTACTAGGTCTCTAGCTGTTGTCCATTTTTCTGGGTTATTAGCTGCTTAAAATCCTTCTTTGTAGAGATTTGGCAGGTTGGGTAAGTACTTGTCAATCTGCCAAGCTGGTAGTGGTGGTGTATTTGCAATATATCTGGTCCAAAAAGATACCTGCCTTCTTATAAATACTCAAAGGCGCTTGACGTAAAGTAGGTAGGAGACAAATGCTCATTGCGCTTGCACGTGTGAGTGATTTCTGTCCATCCCCAGGATTCGGTTATGGCCTCCTTGGTAACAGGAACTTACTCCCCATATATTAAATTAAGACTCAGATGTCTGAAATACCCCAAACAGGGACAAGTTCTCTTTGGCCAGTTGTTTCTAGAGTGATAGATGCTTCTTATAACTGCTGCCTGTGTCCCTGCAGAAACGTCCTTGTGGGCAGCTGGTAAACCTTTAGCTCGATCTTGCCTCCACTCTGTGCTCGGGGACATGTTTTATCACAGCGCCATTAGAGGTGTGGTTTTGACAGGTTTTGAAGCCCTTCGCTAACAGGATTTTTTAATGCTTGAATATTTTGACATTTAAACCTCTTACAAGCCTTAAGCATCTGGTCTGGGTTTGATCGCCAGACTACCAAGGACTCTTACCATGAAATTTTCAATGTACAAGCCCAAATTACCCAAGTATCAAGCATGTCCAACACAGGCATGTTCATAATCTCATTTAGTTCTTCTGAGGGCCAATAGCTGACCAAAGGACATACTGTTTAATACAAGAAAATAAGCATGTTGACTGTTACTGATTCTAGAACATGAAGAATAGCAGATGGTCTAAGCCACTGAGAGCTGGTGATGGATGGAGGGAACGTGACCATGACCATGAGCATCCATGTGCTTCTGAATACTCGGCACTGTGTAAAACAGTCTGAAAATAATAAAACTGGCCGCTTGGTTGAAATAATATATTTAAAAACCGGAAATTGGGGTTTTGGTATTTTTTAGGAGAAAGTATGTTAACTTCAAAGACAGATTTTTTCCTGTCAAATATTTCACGTCTTTACTATTCCAGCTTTACAGTCCTAGAAGTGTTTGTGAGAAAATAGTAATTTTATTTTTATTTTTTGTTTATCTTATCTCACCCAGAAGAAATGACTTCTTAATTTTTATGCTTCCAGAGCATGTGACACTTTTATTTTATTTTTAGACATTATTATCCAACCACTGAAATCTGTCCAAATTATGACACCTAGATTTTTTTAAAAAAACACCTGTTTTAGGTTTTTTTGAGACTCAGAACACATAGTGAATCCAGTACACGTCTATGAACATATATTTTGTTGCACTAGGTTTGTCTAAGATCATTAACTTATTCCTTGAAAGGAAAGAGAGAGATCTCATCATATATCTAGCATGCGGGCTGGGAAAGTTCAGTCTTCACAGATCAACAGCTGTGTAGGCTTCCTCACACGTGATTTATGTAATTTTCGTATTTCCAATTCCTCTCCAACAACAAAATCAGAAGCCTTTTCAGACCGAG